TCTTTTTCTTTTTAAAAAGATTATTCTAGTTTTGGATAAATATAAAAATAAATAAAATTAGAAAAATAATTAAAATCATATAAAATTATTGAAATAAATAAGGTAATAAATAAAAATTAACCTGAAACTAGTAAGAAATAAAATAAAAATATAGAGAGTGATGGATTTTAACGTACCAGTTCTTATTTTTAGGGAAAATTAACTAGAATAGTCTTAACTTTATCTGTTCTTTCAAAAAATAAGTAGTACATTAATACTTTGTATAGTGCGTAAAATATTAGAACCCTTTACTCATATTTTTATATTTTTTGTACCAATTTTAATTTTAATTTCTATTGATTATCATATTTATTTTATTAATTTTGTATGGCTTTAGTTATTTTTCTCATTTTTGTTATTTTTATATCTATTTTTTATTTTATCCAAAATAGAATAATCTTTTGAAAAAAGAAAAAGAAATGATGGAGGTAGAAATTTATTTTAAAAATTTTAAAAAAATTATAACTGATTTTTATAACTTTTTTTTATCTTAATCCTATTTTTTGAAGAATATTTTTGGAAGAAAGACTAAAATAGAAATAAAAGACTATTATAGATCGATAAACAATTAAAATACGACCTTCATATATCTTCACTAAAGTATGTAGGGGTGAGCGTGGCACGGTATTTAGCTCGTACCGATACCGTACCAATTTTTTCGGTTCGGTATGGGATTTTACGTTGTACCGATCCCGATCCCGAAGCATCGGTTGGGTATGGTTCGGGATGGTTCGGTATCGGTTTCGGTACGAATCAGGATGAATATATACGTACCTAGTTCACATCATAAAATGTAACAAAACCTTTTATTTTTGAAAAATTTAAAGTACATTTAACCAAAGAAAGATAAAAAAAATTTAAAAATGAAAAAAATAAAGTACAAGAAATGTTTATGAAAGTTAGTTTATATTTCACAAACTAAAGAGAACGAGTGATAACAAAGTATTATATAAAATATTTGTTAATATTCTTATACTCATCTTCAAAAAATAAAAAACACTTATTAAAGTGCAACTTAAACATAATGAAATTAAACTAAATTGTCTATAAATTTTTTATTTAATGAAGAAATATAAAAAGATTATTATTTTTATAATATATTAGTATATATGTTCGGTTCGTGAATTTCGGTATGGGAAGTAACCTCGTACCGTTCCCAAATACCGGACCGACCGTTCGGGTTCGGTACGGTTCGGTTTCTTTTCGGTACTTTATCGGTTCGGTATTTTTCGGTTCGATATTCTCCGTTTTTTCGGGAAATATCAGGATCGGTTCGGTCCTTGCTCACCCCTAAAAGTATGTCTATAATGGAAATAATGCAAACAAATAACATAAAAACATTACAATACTCTAATATATAGTGTCACAAATTCAAACTCCGGGTAACACAATAATCGTATGTGAAAAATAAGAATATGTGTCATTCATATTTCAAATATAAAAATTGCTCCCTCCGTCCCTAAAAAAAATTCTTTATTTGATCAGCGTGCAAAGTCCCGCGACTTTTAAAATGATTTTATTTATAAATTGGTAAAGAATAAATTTTTTAAACTACATCAAAACTCTACAAAACAAGAAGTGACAAGAATATTTTTTTTTATTAAATAATCAATGAAAACATACAAATAAATAAGAATTATCGAAAGATCATAATAATAAACAGGTAACTCTTTTAGGGACGTGAATATTTTATTTTATTTTTTTATCATCATCAATTCATCATCGTTTCATCCGCCCCGTCCATCTTTATTGTGCGTGCATGCGGTGGTTCGTTTTATTAATCAACCGTTTTGGTTGCCAAAGAGTGTGAATTTATTGATTAATTGCTCCACTAGTTGAAAACTGAAGAGGTGGAGATTTAATGCCTTAATGGCTCATGTTGACCAACTCCCATTCATGAAGGGCCATATTGTAGGGTTACAAAATCAATATGGATATATATGGGTTGGGACGTTGGGTTAATAATTAACAAGATAAATAAAAAAGATGGAGATTTTGACTAGAAAGATTAAGACTAAACAGACTAATCTACTCTGAGACCGGTAATCTCAAATAGGTAACGAATCAAAACGTTGAATTATCAAAAATAAAGAAACCACCCAAATAATGTCACTATATAGTGACATCCCATTGTGTTTAATGGTACTATCTCTTGGTATATATATATATATATTGGTTCAGGTGAGAATGCAATCTAATGAAAGAAATAAGAATGAATCTGATGCATTAGACTGAGAGATCTAAGGGTTAGGATTGCATCAAAATTAGGTGCACCAAGATGGTTTGAAAATGCATCATGTCGAAATGCACCATAATCCTTTGAAAATGCACTATCTCAAAATTTGAGTGCAGAATGCAATCTGAGTCGCACGATGCATCAGATCCAAAGGCCAGATTTTATTCTTATTTCTTTCACCAAGGTGCATTCTCACTTGAACCAGCCCATATATATATATATATATATATATATATATATATATATATATATATATATATATATATATATATATATATATATATATTATTGGCATTGTACTCCTATTTTGGAGATAAAAAATGAAGGTCTTATTTTAATACTTTACGCATGTTTCAGTCATATTTAGTCCTTTATCGATGTATTAATTATTGTTTCAAATCATCTTACGGCAATGTTTAAGTGTATTATTGTGTTCCTTAATTTTATATTGGAGTGTAATGTTCATTGATTTATGTGGTAGTGTTTTCATGTATAAATTCTACACTATCAACAAGTGTATGACTATTTTCATATATGAATTTCACACTGTCCAAAAAATATATAGCTCTTTTTATGTATGAATTCCACACTGTTTTCATGTATGAATTTCACACTGCTAAAAATGTGTATGACTGTTTTCATGTATAAATTCCATAGTGCCCAAAAATGTATTACTGGTTTCACGAATAATCTATTACACCAAAACACATTGGTCAAACATTAGCATTAAATATGAAACTTAATTTAATATATGCGAACTTGTTCAGGCATTATACATAGGTAATTAAACTACGTACGAGTAGGACTCGCAGAGCTATGGTAAACGGCGTTGCATGATGTTCTCGTACATACGAGACGCACGAACGAGGAGGAGCCGCGCACGTATGAGGAGTGACTACGTGAATAACCTAAGTTTAATCAAATAGTTAAAAAAATAGTAGATTATAATAAAAGGTAAATGGTATGCTTGAAAGATATTGACACTATAAATAGCTAAATTCGAATAAAAGATTAAGAAGTACTATATGCATAATATTGAGTAACTTAGAGTGCTATGTAGGGTGATTTCTTTAATTTTTTTCATGGGTTTATAGTTAGATATGTGTCGTTTTAGGTCTTGTTCTGTTGAGTTAGAAAAATTAACTTCGAACTTCTACCAACTTCTTCCAACTCCTTTCATTTTCTTCCAACAATGAATTAAAAATTTATATATATATATATATATATATATATATATATATGATTAATGTAAAAGATTACTACCTCCGTCCTACTTTCTTTGTCCACTTTTGACTTTTGGAACGGTTCATCTAAGCACTTTGACTCATCAAATTCTCACAATGTGTAAGCCTAAATATAATCATGTGTGATCTTGTTTGATTTGTCTTAACATATAGATTATTAATATATAATTTCTATAATTTTTTAAAATATAAATTACAAGATAAAATGGATTAAAGAAGTGTATTGGATGGTGTGTAAAAATGAGAGTGGACAAATACTCTGGAACGGGAGTATTATATATCAAATTTATAACATATCACATCAAACACGGACAATGATGAATTCTTTTGTATCCAAAAATAAAATTTTCTTACATATTTATTTGGATGATCATTGAATTGAGCGATTTTTAATACTTTAACTCTTCCAACATTTTCAACCACCTTCCAGTTTTATCCAACTCCTTCCAATCTATTCCATCATCCAGTTCTGAAATTTCAACCTAAAAAAACAGACCCCTAGAATGCTCAATACATTTAACCATTTCATATCTCAAGATCCAAAAAATGAGTATGAGCTAAAGACAAAATACCTTTAACAACCCAATACCGTGCACCAATTAAGTTTGCATCTCAATTTGGACAACATGTTTATCACACACACGTACAAATCACAATTGTCTGTGTAGTGCATAAACAATTATTGTCTGTGTGTATCTCTGATGCACTTAATGTGCAAGTTGGGGTCAAACTTAATTGGTGTACCTATAGCACACCTCATTTTTTAATGAAAATATTCTCGTGCTCCAAAGGTTTAATTCCAAAACATACTCTAAAAATTTACACTTTCGTTTTGTACGTGTAAATGTAAATGTGAATATGTGATACTGATGGCTTATATTGACAAAAAATATCAGCACGAAATCTTGCAATTGCACTTACATTTTGTATCAATATATGTCATCAAAGTATAAGTATAAACTTTTGGGGTATAATCTATATAGTACGGAGTACATCTTTGGATATTAATTTAGGGTGTGTTTGATGAACAAAACACCAAAATCTCTTTTGGTGTTTGGTGAAGTAAAATGAGATATTGAGTTTTATATTTCCAATTACGGAGTATTATAAACTCTCCAATATGTAGGTTTGATATCATTTTGAACTGTTGACCATACTCCGTCATCGGCTACAGTTGTCATTGTCAACCACCTGATAGTCGGTCACTTCCGTTTATCACTAATTAAATAATTATTTTAAAGCTCTCCAAACAACTGCATTTCAAATTTTGAAAGCTTTATCATTTTTTCCACATCTCATAACTCAACTCAAATTCACCAAGTAGACCCTTAGGGGCTGTTTGGCAACTTCTGAATGGGTAAGTGCTGAACCAGTAAGAGGTCTGAATCATTAAGTGCTGAACTAGTAAGAGGTCTGAACCATTAAGAGCTAGTATATTGCTTAACTATTCAGAGGCAAATGTCTGATCAATTCAGATAACAGCTCTTAACCATTCAGACTCTGTATAATACTTAACCATTCAGAGGCAAATCTCTTAACCATTCAGACATCTGAACCATTAAGAGGCTGAAACAAACAGTCTGAACCATTAAGTGCTGAATCATTCAGACATCTGAACCATTAAGAGGCTGAAACAAACAGCCCCTTAGTTTTGGAGTAAAAAGTAAACAGCACGATGTCGTTTTGAGGTTTTGTTTATTTATATACTCCCGTATTTTTTAAAAAATTAAAGCTAAATCTAATCCATCGCCCTTAGCTTTGCCATTCGCTGAGAACAGACCCAGTCCCCCACTACGGTGGCGACTCCGCCCGTCTAGCCGCCGACGCAGCCCCGCCGGAAGCATTCACTCCGCCAGAGTCCCCGCCGCCCACCACTCCGGTAACAATTTTGCTCATTTACTTGCTAGACAGGTGATGGCGTGCTCTGGCCGCTGGGATTCAGTCCCACCTGATTTTCTTGTTCCGTTGATTGATTAAGTAATGCAGTTCTTTTTCCCTTTAAAAAAAAGTATAATCAGTATTTTCTTTTAAATCACGGTCGTAGCCTTCCAGAATCCGCATAGCTCATTTAATTATTACTCACTTTAATCTGAGTTAAATTAGAATTTTACTCCGTAGATTTTAAAACAAATTAATAATTTTAATACTCAGTAACGCTTTATTTTAAATCACTCATTCACCCAGATTTGTTTAAGTAAATATTCTGCATATAGGTTTGTTAGTAATCTAATTAGTAAAGTTCTATTTAAAGTAACCTGTTAATTTTTTAAAATTAAATGTAGGATGCCAAAGTATTTAAAAAAAACTCAAGATTTAAAGAGCTTGAATCAAGTGAGAATTTGTGTGGCTTGAATTCACATTGTTAGAGCAAAATATTGGTGAACTGGAAACTGCATTGAATGCGAAATTATATGAAGAGAATTTTGATTTTGAATATTTAGAAGTTGATTAGAGGTTAATAAAGCGGATTATAGATTATTCCTCTTTAAGCATATAGATGAAAAAGATAGAGAACTGTATCAATTTAATTTTAATGATTAGTCTTGCGTGAATTATAGTTTTGCAAAATATGCTATGTTTTGTTTTCGATGCTACTTATTTAGGAATTTGAGTGACTCTGGTGGGCATCATTTTGTGGGTAGTGCATTTTCGGGTTGGAAGTAAAGGGAAAGGTTCAACATTCATGTCGGTAGACCATATAACCCACATTTTATTTCTGTTAAAAGAAGTGAAGATTTAATGAACCAAAAACAAACTATTGAAGCCACTCTTGTCAAACAAGTTAAATTACAGTATCTCACTCGATAGAAGATATCACTTGAAGTTACTCTGAATTAGATATCTTCTTACTTCTTACCAGGACTCATGACATAAAGTTTTTGGGTCGTCCCTGATCATTGATCGACAAAGTATTCTACCACAACTAACATCTCCTAGCCTACACAAATACAGTCTTAGAGCATGTTCTCTTCAACTTATTATTATTTCTTCTTCTTCTTATTCTTATTGGAATCTGATCAGACTAGATGAGGCCAAATCAAATCAGAAACAACATTAACTACATCAGACCTTAATGAATTCGGATCCGAACCAATAAGATGAGACAAATAGAACATGCCCGTACTCCGTGTTAGAAAATGTATTAATGTAAAATGTATATGACTACCTACCTTAGTTTATCTTTTCCAAACAAAGTTTTATAAAGGCCCGTCATAACAAGCAGAACAGTTATTTATGAACATTGCCTCCATAAAACTATCTCAGTATCTCTACCTCTTTAACTGATAGCATACTTATTTGAAGAGTTGGTTGAGGTGAAACAAACTTTTCTAATGAATTTTTACTTGTGTAGTTGTGTTATGGTTCTGATGCTCCAAACAGGTCAGAGAACTTGTGTGCCTCAGTAGACTGTCCTCTTTGTGTATTGACTGTCCTCTTTGTGTATGATGCCTTGTTTTGTTTTTTTTACTCTGAAGAATTACATAACTTAGTAAATACACTGCGGTACCCAAATACACCCGCATCAAAATTTGTCAGGAATAATCTGGTCTCCTCTATTCCTCGTTATTGCACTAGAAACATTTTGAAGACTGCATGATTTGTAGTGATTGTAAACTTGCATCAGTAGTTTTAGATTTGATTTTTATTTTATTTTATTTATTTATTTTGGTTTCTAAGCGACAGCTCTGAGATAGAACTTTCTAATCTTTGCTGATTTTTACGTAATGTATCCTGGCTGTGCTCTTATAAAAATTTATCTATGTTCATCCAATAAGCATTTGATCCACCTGACTAACTGGTGGATGTGGGGTGTATTGCATAATGTGTGCTTATTTTGTGACGGGCTATGGATTAGTTGTTGAATGGAGAGTTGGTGTATCCTGATCCATGGGCCGTCTTCGTGATTAGTTGTTTGAGTTTCTTTTATGGACTAATTTTATTTTTTAAAAGAGTAACTCGTTGGGCTTAACTGGAATAATTATATCCATATTTATTTGGATGACATGTTGCCTTGTTGTGGATTGATGATGTGGTATTCATCTTCTCCTTTTCAAAATTTGATTTTGAGTGAGCATTAGATGTTTGCTGTTTCGTGTCAAGGAGTTATTTGGCTCTATATTTTTTCAAACAATGATTCCATTTCGAGCGGATCATGAATTTGGCACTCTCTTCAGAAGCTTGCAACTCAAGTGGAAAAGATGAAGGAAGATGAAGTGAATAGATGCCAGATTCAAGAGTGGTACCCTAAGTTCAAATCCATCTCCATAAAAACTGAAATCCATCATCTTCCAGAATCTTTCATAGATTACCTTTTAGATGACAAGGGTCCATTTCTTCTCCCGCTCTCCATTGAAGACAATGATGCCCTTCCCAATAGAATCCATAACTCCGAAGATGAAGCCGAAGAAGAGGGCTATGAAGGGACTGAAGATGAATCAGAAACCCCTCCATCAACCCCTTCGTTTCCTGAACTTGAGATGAAAGTTAAAGAATCAATCCAATCTCTTGGGGGTTCTGTCTTCCCTAAGCTTAATTGGAGTTCACCTAAAGACTCTGCTTGGATTAGTACCACTGGGAACCTCAAGTGTTCATCTTTCAGTGAGATTTCACTCTTGTTTAAATCATCTGACTCCCTCACGCACGATCTTTGTCATGCTTATGATTCTTGTAGTGACAAAACTATCTCTAGGCCTCATATCTTTGTTCTTGCCCTTAGGAAATGGTACCCTTCCTTGCGTCCCGAGATGGAGTTCCGTTGCTTTGTGAAAAACCATGCTTTGGTAGGAGTCTCCCAACGGGAGATCACCACGTTTTATCCTTCTCTCCTTGAAGACAAGAATGTTCTGAAAGCAGCAATACAAACATTTTTTCTTTCCAATTTGAAGGGGAAATTTGAGTCCGAGCGTTACACATTTGATGTTTATGTTGCACGCGATCGTATCAGGCTCTTAGATTTCAACCCCTGGGGTGCTTTCACATTGCCGCTGCTCTTTACTTGGGGAGAATTGGAAGATGAAATCGGCGGTGATGAGTTTCAATTTAGAATTGTAGAGAACCGACTTGGAGTAAGGCCTGGGTTGAAGACAGCAGTTCCTCAGGACTACACTGATACGAGTCTGGGAAGTGGCTGGGATGAGTTCATGAGGAAGGCTAATGTGGAGTTTCAGCAACAGATCAATGCAGGTGAAGCAGGTGCTTGATTTTTAAACCAAGGTCAGTAAATGTGTGTTTTTTTTTGTAATCTACACAAGGCATTTTTTTTCTAGAAAAGTTCTCGCCAAGTCATTTTTTCTTTAGTTTTCTCAGCTTTGGTGCATAGTTATTGATTCTTTTCTACGTTTAGTTCTTTACTAATTACTAGTTTCAATTTTTGACACCCAAGACCGATATCAGAAGAATTGAGTCCAGTTTTAAATACCGTAGAGAAAATATTCCAACTTTGCCAGGTTCTCTTTTTCCTGTTAAATGAACTCATTTAATCCTTTACATTTGCCAAACAATTTTAATCTAATAGTTACCCCGGCCCCGCACTATTTTTAGATTTTTTGGTTTCTTTTTTTTGTAGTTTTCAGTCACTTTTTTAGTTTCACACTTTTCCAAGTAGTAAATATAAGTTGCTTCTCTTGGGAACAACATTTGTTGTCAACGTTTTAGATGTTTTTTAATAATGCAAAAAAACTTTTAAAGTTACAGGATTCATGAGATTTTTCTTGCCAGGTTACAGGAATTTTCACTTTTGGTCTTTTAGACTACTATATCCTGACTTTTAGAATGGTGAATGTGGATTTTAGAGAATTAAGCTTTGTGCAACATTTCATTCATTTCTTTTATTATTACTCAGTGCTTCTGATCATCTGTTCATTTATTTGTGTCTATCAGGAGCAACTAAGGACATATGAGGACTCTGTCCAGTTTCTCTACTTGGGACACATCTCAAAGGTAGCATTATAGGCATTCTATATACTAAGGACAGGACATAGGGCACTGTCCAGATTCTCTACTGATTTTTATTAGAAATGTTGGGTTTTCGTATGATTTTGAAACCAATGAAGTCGATGTGTCTAAGGAGCACAAGAACTTCGGGGCTGTGGTTTTACTGCGAAGCTGTTAGTCTTGGGGGGAATGTGTTTTACTTTCTTGATTGAGGACGAACAAAATGAAAGCGTCCGCCTTATGGCCTACATTTAGGGGTCAGTTCTATTGACACCACGGTGTCACTGCACGGTTTAATATTGCTTCCTAAAATTGCAAATTGATCCCCTCTAAATCACCACACCAATCGTTCTGTTACTTAACGCACGGTCCGTTATTAGTCCGTATTCATTTAGTTTCTATTGGTTAAATAAATTACAGTATTATTTTGGTTCATTTGTTTTTCCTTTTTTCAATGAGAGCAAAATTTCCTTCTTTTTCAAACCCATCCTCTGAAATGTTCAAATTATTATTGTCTTTTTATCACCACAACCTCTATTGAAAAATTGTCCTCTTTCAAAAAAATTACTCTCTTCGTCCTAAAATGTTCTTCCCACTCACTTTTTACTCACTTAAACTTTAATCACTTTCTTTACCTATTTTCATTAGGTATTTTATAAAATAATATAGTCTTGTCACCACTTGTTTTATAGAACTTTTGATGTAGTTTTTAAATATATAAATTTTATTTTTTAATTTTACACTTACAATCAAATAAATTGAATTGAAAATAAAATCGGTCAAACCTCGTAAAATGAACCGGGAAGAACATTATAGGATGTGGAAGGAGTATAACTCATTGTTTAGGGCTTTAGCTTTTTCTTTTGGACAGCTTTGACAATGGGGGAATCTATGTACATAATGTGTACTAGATGTTTATCCAAAATACTTTCTAAACAGGCGTTTTTTCAGAATTCAAAGTATGTACAAAAAGAGTTAATTAATTTTTCAAACAAAGGAACAAGTATTATTTCAAAAAATATTCTTAGGCTACAATTGGCATACGAAATTCAAATGATAAAATTGGAATTGGGAACAACAATTCCAGTTCTACTATTTAGTAGCACAAAAAGATGTGCATTCGAGATTGGTAATGCTAAAAATGAATTAGAATTGAAGAATTTAATTTCATCCAAATCAATTCTATTGAATTTTAACTCTCAATTCAATTCCAATTCTATTAATTTGGTGTAACAAATGGACCCTTATGTCCCAAATCCAATTGCTAAGGGCTCGTTTGTTGAGTTCTAGAGGTATGATGAGATATGAGTTCTGAAAACCAAGAGAAATGATATGAGTTCTGGAATATGAATGAAAAGTGTTTGTGAGAAATTAATTAAGAAAACATTTAACATAATACAAATGTTGAACAATGTTTTAATGCATAGCCATATTATACTCCCTCCGTCCAGTGTATTCGTTAGTGTTGCTTTTTTGAGTAAAGCAATGATAAATTTTGAGCTTGAATTAGACAAAAATTGTAATTTATACTAATATAAAAATGATTTATTACATTAATATTGTCTAGAATTTTCAAAATTCTATTTCATTGTACTAATAAATAATTCAAATTGAGAGTAATTGAAATTTGAAGTTTATCTAATTTGACTAAAAAATGTTAAACGGGACAAATACGCTTGGACAGAGATAGTATTAGTTAAAAATGTAGAATAAGGTTTTATTTTTAATTTTTGTTAATGATATTTTATTGTTTTCTTGATTTTGTATTTTTATGTTTTTTGTGAATATTTTTTTAATAAATGGTTAGAAATTTAAAAAAATCTTAGATGGCATGAAAAGTAAATGGATAAAATTAATTTAAGAGATAAATATTTTTTGGCACATTATTTTTTTAAAAGAGAAAAAAAAATAAAAAAAATTCAGAATAAAAAAATGTTCAAATGAATAATTGAGGACCACTTTTTATCTTCACTAAACATACTTTTTGAGAATTTGATATCTCACATATTAAGAGTCTGTTTGGGAATAGCGTTAAAGTGTTTTGGATGAAAAATCAACAGTGCAGATTACTTTGAAAATGCTACCGTTAAATTCTACCCATGGATAGCTTTACCAAAACACTAACACTAATCTCTAATGCTATTCCCAAACAGACCTTAAATCTGAAAGTGGTTTGCCTGGCGAAATTATGACTTTTGGAGTTGTGGATCGTCGTCAACATGTTGTGGTATCTGCGTGCATGCATGATACTATTGTTAAATTTTAACTAGTAAATAGTAATTTAGCAAGTAGTTTTTTAATCCATCATCCAACCATGCTTGCTAAAATTTAACTAACAACTAGATTTTAAAATATAATGAATTCCCTTTTAGTAATTAAAAATGAATTAAAGTGAATTAATTCACTAACGGAGGAAGAAGAATGACTTTTTCATGTGCCTCTTCCTATTCCCGTTACTTTTTTGGATTTTAATTTAATTNTATTGTTAAATTTTAACTAGTAAATAGTAATTTAGCAAGTAGTTTTTTAATCCATCATCCAACCATGCTTGCTAAAATTTAACTAACAACTAGATTTTAAAATATAATGAATTCCCTTTTAGTAATTAAAAATGAATTAAAGTGAATTAATTCACTAACGGAGGAAGAAGAATGACTTTTTCATGTGCCTCTTCCTATTCCCGTTACTTTTTTGGATTTTAATTTAATTTTTTATTAATTTTCTTGGCTTGCTTTTATTTGGATGGCTTGCTAGGTTTAGCAAGCCAATTTTAATTTTTGACAAGTATGTTTAAATATACCATATCCCTTGGAGATGGAAAAAAGAGATTCACTTGCTATTATATAACTTTTAGCAAGCCATATTGATAAGGTTGGAGATGCTCTTAGTAGGCTGGACCCGAGTGGTAAATTAAGTAAGGGTCAGAAAAGAGAAAATTGAATGTGAGTTGTTAGAAAAAGCAATTTCAGAAGAAAGAATACGTTATTTCAGAATGAGTATTACATTGTTTCAGAACGAATACTATGCTAAGATTGAAGAGTACGGTTGAAAATCAACATTCTGTTCATCCAAAATTCAAAATGAATATTCGTCATGTGCACCTAACTCTACGTATAATCGGATGCATGGTATGCATTCTTGTTGGAGTGGTGATGTAATTTAATAAATTTGGCAGTATTAGCATAATATATACTCCCTCTGTCCCAAAATATATCTCACATTTTCTTTTTCAGCAATCGCGGGAACTTTTGTTTATTTCTACGTTTTCATTGGTTATTTGATAAAATAAAATATTATTGACACGTCTTATTTCAAAAAACTTTTTATGTAGTTTCTTGAAATGTAAATTTTATTTTTTTTCTATACCAATATGTAAATAAAATGAATTGAAAAAACTTGATGTTCTAACTCGGTAATAGAGGTGTGACAAATATTTAGGGACGGAGAGAGTATATAACATTTTGGAGTAGTGACATAATTTTTTTCTAATTCAAATGCCCAATATCCTTCATGTGAAAACAATTGCTCAAATAACTTTTAAATCTAAGTAATACTCTCTCCGTCCCATTTTATAACGCCTGTTTCGGTTTACGATGTTTGATTGAAATTATTTTCAAACCATTTTATATGACAAATGGTATAGAACTAAAAATAAAACTTACATATTAAAAAACTACATCAAAAGATCTACAAAACTAGTAATGACAATAATATTTTAATTTATCAAATTGCTAACGAAAATAGAGAAAGAAAGTGAATAAAGTTTGAACATGTGAATAGTAAACAAGCATTATAATTTGGGACGGAGGGAGTAGTAGAATAATCATTACTAATAAGGCTATGTGGTATGGTTGGGGTGGCGGGGAGTATGATAAGAAGTGATTATAATACTCCCTCCATCCCTGAAAGTAATTCCCTTATTGATTTTTTGAGAAATTAAGAGAGAAATATTTTGGTGTTGACTCTCCAAAAATACCCTTGATGTGATGGATTAATTATTAATAAAAAAATATGATGTGATAGGTAATGTACGAAAAAGTAATGGGTAAAAGTGGTTTGTTAATAAATAAGGGAATGAGTTAGCGGGACAAGAAAAAAGAGAATGGGGAAGGAGTTTAAGAGACAGAGGGAGTATGTGATATGGTTGGTGGGCGTGAAGGAGGTGAAGGTGTGAATTATTTCGACTGATTGAGGAAGAAGTGTATTAAATTTTGATTGTTAAAAATTTAAAAGAACTTAATCTTTGCAGTATCCCATATAAATGTAAAATTGGACAAAAATACTCACCTCTCGACGAAAATTTCCAACAAACCTCCTACTTTCATTTTCTAATAAGCACGTTTTGGACAAATTCATCCCATAGTCAACCTCTCTGAGAAAAAGTAAAAATGCGATGATTAAATCTAGAGAGAGCGAGTATTATTTAAGGCACCTAACCATATAGTTTAAATGTCTTATATGTGCGATTTCATGAAATTTATTTTTTTTCATTTCTCGATCATATACATGTGTCTTTGGACAAAAATATCTTCTCCTTCATTAAAAATTTCCAACAACCCACCTATTTCTACTGTTTTAGTAATGATATTTTGGATAAATTCACCCCATTTTAGCTGACCAATCTTAAAAATGAGAAAAAAATCAAAATGAGAAAATTAAATCAGGGAGATTGTTTCAAAAATCTAGTGACATTAAAGTGTGTTTTCCGGAAAAAAAATTGTGTGTGTGTGTGTGGGGGGGGGGGGGGGGGGGGGGG